ATGTGTGCGCGCCTGTTATTTCCACCAGTTTCTAAAATTAAATCGCAGTTACTCGCCTCGAGGTATCACCTTCGTTAATCGATGTTCTTGAACGTTTAATAAGAAAGACAAGAACGATTTTTTCTATGAGATATGTATATATATAAATATACATGTTCGTGAAAAATTTAGGACGGATTGTTATATTTGTTAAATCGTTGATAAAAATTAGATAACCATTGAAATTATATCACAAATAAAAGATATTTGTTTATGTATAAATATAAAAATAATTATCCTCGATTATTTCTTCGTAAATTTCAAATCCAAAAACAAATTCAATGGGGCGATATTTCGCGAACATCAACGAACGTTTAATCACTTTTTCTTTAAATAAATACGGGAGGAAGGGGATGAAAAATTACGATTTTACGAATGTACTAATAAAAGAATAAATAAATTTCCAGGGAATATGGAACTTGATAAACTGTGAAAGTAGAATAGCGGAAGCGACGACGTGGAAAAAACGAGAGAAAAGGAACGATTGTATCTTCCTTATCGTGGTCGAATAAATTTTCTTTCTCGCGTAAAGTATTTAATGAAGCAGTGATTCGAAATAATAATTATCTGAAGCTAAAATTTTAATCAGTATAATAAACCGAGAAAAATAAAGAGAATAATTTAATTTAAATGCGTAATTTAAAAAAAAAATTTGAAAAAAATCCTCTATCTTTTTTACGTTGCTTTCGAAAATTTAAAGCAAAATTTCGAGAATATCCTGAACACTATTAAGACGATTCTCGACATCGAGTTTGTGAAGTCACTCGACTTTGATAGTAACTTGAACCAGACCCTACACAATGGGAAAGGAACAACTTCCGTGCTTTTGGACAGAAAAGCGGGAGTATGCGAAAATAGAAGATATATTGCATTGTGTTTGGAAACATTCGAAAGTTTATTTGCTTTCTTGTCACTGGTATCTCACGGTTAAAAAAAGATTTCTTTTCTTGTCAAGAATAATATTATCTCAAAGTTTGAATTTCTCGAGTGTTTAAAATAAATTCAATTTAGAAAAAATAGCGAATAATAAATTTAATGAGCTATTTTTTAGCTTGATATTATTTTCCAATTATTAATATTATTTTGGTTATCGGATCTTACATGAAGAAATTATTGAGAACCCCATTTGTAAAAGATACAAGTGAAAAATACGATGAATTATTAAATTAACAAAATTAAATTATTAAAATTAATTTAGAGGAATGAAAAACAAAAAACATAAGAAAGAAATTTAACATAAAATAAAATAAGAAATAATCACAATATGGAAAATACATCATATATAATACAAACATTATACAAATTTAAACTTATAAACTATGGTTATCATGATTCATTGCTTTTTTTCTCATCCAAGTAGTACTTAGACACATGATCTAGATAATAGATGCGAAAAAAGTTAAAATATAGAAAAAAAATAAATGCGACTCACCATTAAATGTGAAGAATGTTACTAATATTTGATACTCCTATGTTCTTATCAATAATCCTTATGTGAAGCCCACATCATGTAGCAAAATGTAGAAATTAAAACATCTAAAATAAAAAAACATAATTTAAAATATATTATGAATTATTTAAATAAGAAGATTTTTTTTTTTTAGAATACTAATAAGGATTAAAATTTTAATAGATTATAATAGATCATAGTAAAAGTTGAGATTTTAAAATATAAAAATTTGAAATTTTAAAATTCTAATAATTTGATAAAAGAATAAAAATTAAAATAAAATGAAAAATGATTACTTTTCACATAAAAAATGACAACTTTATTCTCTGAAGAAAGAAACTGATTCAAGTAGTATTTTTTTTTTTGTTTAAATATTTATTTTCCAATATTAAAAAAAAAAAACTTTTATCACAACTATATCATAATCGGATGAATAAACACGGATTTTAATTTCTTTCGAAAAATTAAAGAAATTATTACGAAACAAATATTGACTCTATGCATTGTACAAGATCACAAAAATAAAACTGTATTGTAAAAAGAGAAAGAAAAGAAATGAAATATTCTTTTGGAAATTTTCCTTTTTATCTCTTTTATCAAGCATTTGTTTATAAAATTACTTATAAAACTTATAAATTATAAAATTTTGTTTAATATTCGGAAATGTTTATGCATTCTACAAATTTGTACAATTAATTTTAAAATATTATTGTATTGTAATTATTCATTATTAAAATTTATATTTTAATAAGTTATTTCGTGTACAATAAATATTTGGAATTGCTTGCAATAAATAAAAATCGTATAAGTCAATATGTAATATGCAATATGAAATAAAAATAATACATAATATAATTAAATTAGAAGAATCTAAAACATAAACTTACTGTTTGTAGATAAACAATGACACAATAACAACTTTTCATCCGTGCATAACGTAGATGAGATATACACAATGACGAAATATATCATATTTGCGAATAAAATGAGCCAAATTCTGGCCACTCACGAATAAACACAATACTTGCGAATAAACATTTATAAATATATAGTACATAATCGGAAATAAAATATATATATTTTAAACGCACAAAAAAAATCGTATACAACTTTAAATTATATAGAAAATGGAACGCGCGTCTCTTCGACACGTCTAAACGATACAACAGTTCAACCATAACTGGCTGTAATTTGTCCCCATTCGATAACAATCGCTCAGTGGGCAAAGTCGAAAATCGCAAATAAATGTATCGATAAATATCGGTAAATAATTGTTTGTAAGATTCAAAGGAATATTTTAAAATATAAAATAATTATATGTTATAACTTTAATATTCTATTAATATTTTATTAATTTCATAATTTATTGAGGTAAAATATAATAATTTATAATATCATAATATATTAAATTTATTGATATTAAAAAACTGTCTATTAATAATAATATATAATAATTGTTAGTAATATCATTTATTACACTTATTAATTTTAAAAGTAATTTATATTTTTTTTAATTTTAAAATTTATCATTTTAGGAATATTTTTATACATAATACAGAATATTATAGCTATTAATTTAATTTATATAAATAGATATTTTTATTTTATTTCATTAATTGTATATTAATATATATATAATATATATTAATATAAATATTATTAATTATTAATTGTAATAATAATAATAATAATAATAATATATAATTAATATTATATATATATATATATATATATATATATATATATATATA